TATTTTGGAAAAGGATAGCAATAATAGTAGTACATGAAAAATGTCATCAGTGTCCCTGAGCTGTAAGTGTGGAAGTTATGTTGGTGAATGTCTTGTTATGTATATTTTCACCATGGTAAAAGTAAAGAAAAAAAAAAAAAGATGTAGAGAGAAGAGAGTAATACTCAAGGCAGACTTTTTTACTAGTTAAGCTAAACTATTGTTTGGTTTTAAGATAACTTCAGGAGATATTTTTGGTTTAGGTTTAAAGATTATCTCAGGACAATAGTTTGAGGGATTCATCTACCTTCTATGACTCCAGAAAGTCTAGGGTCCATGACAATGTAAAATTCTGTTCTGCATTTCCCCCCTTTTAATCAGGATTCTTCTATAGAGTCTTGGGTCAAAATGTTCAGTAATGCTACCAGGTAACATGCAGTTCTTCTGATCTCACGGCAAAGGAGGCAGTTGTTCATGGAGGAGTTAGCCACACATTCCATATCCTCCTGGTATTCCTGACTTTCCTTCCTCTGTTCCTACAGCTGAACAGAGACCAACTGTTATGCCTTGGATGGCTGCTTGCAAGCTTTTAACACCTGAGGCACTATGCAAAGAAGTAGGAAGTAGAACAGAAGCACTCCACATTATTAGGTCCATTAACTGAGATGTCTCATGAAACCATGACCTTAAACCTCCAAATCAAGGAACCATATTCCATGAGGTGATTCATTGTACATAAGCAGCTTCAGCAGCTTCTCTCTCTCTCTTTCTTTTGTCATTGTTATAAATATTATCTGTCACACAGCTTTTGTAAATTCAACTTTTGACAGGTGTACAACTTATTGACAGGAATTATATTAATTGGCTGTGCAACCCTACTTTTAATCCATGTGATTTTTCTTCACTGTTAATCTCTCTTTTCTTCCTTCCTCCCATCCCTGGTAACCACTGGTATGGTAAAAACACCAAAATTTGTCTTTTCCTGTCTTTTTATATAAGTGAGATCATAAGCTTCACCCATATTGTGTTGTTGTTATGTGCCATAGAGTCGGACCTGACTCAGCAACCCCTCCTTGGGTTTCCAAAGTGGTATCACTATGGAAGTAGCTTGCCCAACCTTCCTTCTGAGGAGTGGCTGGTGGGTTTGAACCGCCAGCCTTCTGGTTAGCAGTCAAGTGCCTAAGGCTACCAGAGCTCCATATTGTAGCATGTATCAAGACTTCATTTCTCCTCCTGGCTGAATAATATTTCATTGTATGTACGGACCACATTTTGTTGATCCATTCATTTATTGATGGGCATATAGGTTGTTTCCACCTTTTAGCTATTGTGAATAGTGTTACAATGAACATTGGTGTACACACGTCTCTTTTTGAGTCTCTGCTTTCAAGTTTTCTGGGTATATACGTAGGAGTGGAATTGCTGGGTCATGTGGCAGGTAGTTCTAATTATAGTTTTTTGAGGAACTGCCACATTGTTTTCCACAACCCCTGTACCATTTTGCCTTCCTACTGCCTGGTCTTTTTTGTTTTTGATGGTGGCTCAGTGTGTTGCTTTTTAATTATTTTTTTCATTCTGGTCTTTTTAAAATATCTTGTTGCTTGCTTTGATGATTCCACATTTTATTTTAAAAATTTCTTTGTATTAATTCTTTTTGTATTCTTTTTTTATTTCAATTCTTAAGTCCTTGGGGTTTAAATCCATTGTTTATTGTTTCTACTGACTCTCTTTATTTTTTTTTTTTTTTGGAGTGTTGGAACTGTTCTAGATTTTTTTTTTTAAATTGTGATTTGGGTGAAGATTTACAGAGCAAATTCACTTTTCATACAGCAGTTCACATATACTTTGTCTCATGTCATTGACCACAGTTTACAACATAGCAGCTCCCCTCCCACTTCCTCCCCATAGTTACCACTTGCCAGTGTCCATCCCTCCATACTCTCCTGCCCCCTGAGCTGTCTTCCTGTGCATAAGCAGCCCTTCCTTCTCCCATGATTGTTCTCTCCAGGGCGTGTGTCTACTTGAGGTAAATGTTTAACTCACATGCCTGTACTTTGTTTGGCTGGAAACCACAGGTGTGGGTTCAATTCCAGACCTGAAGGGCAGCTAGGGGCCATAGTCTCAGTGGTTCTACCAGGCTCTATTGGACCAGCAATATTGACTCTCTTTATGGTGGTTTATTTCCCTGGTTTATTTATTGAGTCTGAAGGATACCTGGCAAACTACATTGAAGATGTTTCTCAACAGAGAGGATATCCATTTGTCTCTGTGTGTGTGTGTATGTGTTAGCCATGGTGGCAGTGGTGGAGGAGGAGGGACAGGGAGCCAGGGGTTATTAGTAACTTGATACTGTATTATCCCCCTTCTTATTCAGGTTGGAATTTACAAGTTCAGTTCCTTTCAGCTAGTTTAAGGCTTAAACTCACGTTTGTAGTTTTGACATAGGCATTTGTCCTTAGGTCAGTCCTGTCTTCTAAGTATATTCAGCACTCACCTCCATGAGAATTCAAAACAAAATAAAAATATATTTTTTATATAGGATCTGTTGTTTTGAAGCAGGATGGTCCTTCAGAGATTCTAGATCATCATACTGCAAGAAGCAGAACTCTTCCCTTCATTCTTAATCCTAAGGCTCTCTGGTTTTCACTCCTTTTCAGTCACTAAAGCTATTCTGGCTAGGTTACCAAGGGTTACTATGCCCAAGATCTGCTTCTGCTATGTTTGACAGCACTGACTTTTTTCTAAGGACGTTCTCTTTGATATTCCACTTCTCTCTCTGGCCATATTTGTCTGTCTCCTTTTATGGTTCTTTTTCCTTTATCTATTTATACCCCTTAAATATTGATAGTCCCCAAAGTTCTATCTTTGGCCATTTTCTTACTCTTCTTTGACAGTTTCATCCACTCCTATGACTTCAGCTGTCACCTGTATGTTGATGATTCAAAATCTACAGCTATAGCCCAGATCCCTTCCTTTTCCTTCAGATAGGTATCCACCTGTACACCAGATATCTTTGCCAGGATGTCTTCAGAATGTTTTTGTTCCGAAATGAACTTCAAATATCTCTCTATTCTAAATCTCAATTGATAGCACTACTTTGCTTCCAGTTGCCAGAGCCAAAAACCCTGGAGTCATCCTAATCTTTCCCCTCTTCTTATATCCATATGGTGACCAAGAGCTGTTGATCTACATCTTAAAATCCTCTCCTACTGGATGTAGAAAAGCACATACTCTCATATTTTGCTGGTGGGAATGTAAATTGTAACAACCTTATGTACAGCAACATCAGATGTATCTTAAAAGTTTTAAAATGTGCATATCCTTTCTCCCAACAATTTCACGTCTAGGAATGTATGGTAAGGGAATAGTCAGATATATACAAAGAGATATGTACAAGAATGATTATACTAGCAACATTTTATAAATCTAAATTTCCAGTAACTTAAGATTCCTTAAATACATTATGGTGCATTGATAAAATAGAATATTATGCATTAATTAAAATAATATTCTAGAATATTCTGACACAGGAAAATGTATCCAATATATGCCTATGTGGAAAAAAAAAAGAACTAAAAATATTGTTCAATATGACACTATTTTTGGGAAAAAAAAAAAGTATTTGCTTCCTAAAAGGGCCTATCATGTTAACAGTAGTTATTTTGGGTTATGATACTTCATCCTTTGTGCTTCTCTGAATTATTTCCATTTTCGCATTAAGCATGTATTTATTTTGTAGTTAGAAAAATCTATTATTTTAAAGATTCTCACCTATTTAAAAAACTTACTTTTTTTTATTGCCATAGTATCACCTCATCTCCCACCCACATCCTCCTCCTCCATCCTTTACCACCTCATTGGCTTCCTGCCCTTAGCCCTACCTCCTTCCATCCCCTGGCATTATGGTAAAAACAGCCTCTCATAATCTAGACATGATACTCCCAGGTTCAAAAGCCTGGAGTATCATGTCTACGTTCTTCAGGAAACCTGAGAAGCCCTTTGTAGTCTACAGCTACTCTCTTACCACAAGGCTAGTCTCTCTCTCAGTTCTAACAGTTTCTGGTTCATTGTGGGTCCTTGCCCCTAGGCTGCCTTTTCTCAGAACACATCTGCTAGAAGCCTCCTCTCCCTGGATCACTCTGTAGACCTGCCGTTTTGAGTTCTAGGAGTACTATCCCCTTTCTGGGGCTTTTACTGGTGCATGCACCACATTGGGCAACCTTACTTTATTCACGTGTTTTCTGAGAGCTCCTGGAAGGTGGGGTCTGGCACTTCATTTTTATTTTTTCGGCACTTTATTTTTATAACCTGGGTGCCTGGCACATGTAGGTGCTTGTGCACATACAGGTACAACATTTGACTGGTTGATACACACAGAACAATTCTCTTAGGCAGAGTCAGGCTCACAGATCCTCTCTCCCTTTTGTGAAAGCTGTACAGACCTATTTGGTCATCCATCTTCAAGCACCGACTCAAGGAGGCAGCAATAAGGTGGCATGCCTATAAGATATTTTCTAGCTTATCACACAGGCACACACGATTGTAGATGGAGTCCTTCCTCAGGGCCATTGTACTTTCTGATCACCCTGCCTGGAACCTTATTTTTTCAGCTCTTCACACAGGTTAGTTTTCTCTCATCTTTCCAGTCTTAGCTCAGCATCACCTCAAGAAAGAGGTCATCCATGACTTCCCTATCTCAGTAGCTCTCTCTGGTTATTTCCATTTCTATTACTCTATTTCCTTTACAGAATTTTGGACAATTTATAAAACTAGTGTTTATTCTTTGTTTATTATCTGTCTCTCCTCACCTCCTATCCTGATGTAATTCCATAAGGGCAAGACTTGTACTATTTACCATTGTAAATCCTGTGCCTAGGCAAATGAATAAAATCCATATACACACACACATCAGGCTACAAATAATTACAATCATGTATTGACAACCACACACCACCAGTCATCCAGATATTCATGGTCATACACTCTGGCCTGTCTCCCCTCCCCAACCAACCTCTACTTACCGGGGTCACAAACTTGTTGGCCTCCCAGGCCCACAGAGGTGGGTCCTTATAGACCTCCTTGATGGAGGTGGGAGCCCTGTAGGAGTCACTGTAGGTGCTGATGGGGGTCTTGGTCTTACGGGAGAAAAGGAACATGGTGGGGTCTAGGGGATGCTGTAGCGGGCTCTGCCTACCAAGGGCTCCTGCTGGACATCAGGCCCTCCCTTAGGCAGCCCACACCTCCAGTCTGACAGGTGTCCTGTGCGGCTATGACCCCCTCCTGTGGGAGTTCCTCAGCTTCCCTTCCCCACAACCTCCTGCCACCACCCCACCCAACCTTCCCCTCTAGGATGGGCACTGCCCATTATGATATCACCTGGCTCAGCATAATTTCTGTTAGGTAAGGAGACCCAATGCCCTCTCTACCCTCCTGATCCCTCCCTGCTTGAAGCCCTTCAAAAGAGACCAATTTCCAAGAGTTCAGTGGACCCCTAAAGACTTTCTGGGCTGAGCTTCTCACTTTATTGAAGAGGGAGATGGAGGTTTAGAGGGGTCAAGTGACTCACCTGGAGATATGCAGCAGATCAGTGGCAGGCCCTGGTCTGGAAATCCACTGGTGGAGGAAGAGCGAGCTGTGCCTTCAGAGATCAGTTCTCCCCTTCCCAGCCCACCTGCCCCTTCCCCATACCCCAGGTAGGGAGCTAAAACAAGCTTGTTTTATGCTTTTAATATTATTTGTGTTACACGATACACAACCAAGGATGATGGTCAATACTGCGATGGAAATGTTTAAAAAAAAATATTATACACGGCTCATGTCCTTTCACACACCTTCCTGGAAATAAATTAGTGAGCATGGAGAAACCTGGCTGGGTGGCAGCCACAGCTGAGAGCAGAGGGAGTGTTAAGGCAGTATCTACAAGGGAGAAGGGGGGCAGGGGGGCAAGCTAAGGCCTTGATTCTTCCTCTCCAGCCTCCCAGACACAGAAGGAGGGAACCATGCACTCTCCCCTAGACCCAAAAGCTGCCCACTGTCAGCTTCCTGCCTCTCCCTGCCACACATACACTGCCTCAATCTAAAGCCCTTGCTTGCCAGGGGTGTAGGTATGTCCCGTGGGGAGGGAGCTTTCCCAGGTTCCTCAGGGCCAGAGTCACATAGCAAGTGAGCAGCAAAGGCAGCAGTCTAAGTGGGAGTACCCCACCATCACCCTGGTGGGGGCTCTTCCCCAAAAAGAGGAGGTACCCATGTTCTAGAAGGGTAAGTCAAGGAGCCCATGTGGTGGTGGCGGTAGTGGGAGGCCTGGCTCTGGGGCCCACATGACAAGGTTGGGGATGCTGACTGGGGTGGGAGTGATGGGCACAGATGGGGGCCAGTGTGAACCTTGTGGGCCCTGTAATGCCTTCTCTGTCCTTGCTCTCCTTTGGCATTTTCTCATCTAACTAGGGTCCCTGCATTAGGGAGGCAGGAGTGGGTAGAGGGAGTAGGGTGTGGAAAGCTGCACCCCAACATGTTGGAGTTGGCAGCTCCTGGGCGTGGTTCAGGGAGAACTGCGACCTTTCCTAAGCTAGCAGCCTTGCTCCCTCCTCTCACTAACCCCTTGTGGAGCTTACCACCTCCCAGAAGGTGGGCTGTGGGTGTGTCCATTGCAAACCTGCAGCCTGTGAGTGGCATACGTGAGAGTGGATATGCCAGCATGTTGGAGTGTCAGCACGGAGGCATAAGGGAGTGTACACCTTGGCCCTAGGATACCAGATTTGTAGGACATAGGCCTGAGCAGCCTTAGGCTCTCTACTCCTTCATTTTCTTTGCCATGGGTGCGGGTCTATATTACCCAGCCAGGAGAGGGTCCTGACCTCCTCCCTCTTCCTTTTCATTCCTTGCCTTTCCTTCCCTCCACCCCACAAACAAGCAACAGCACCAGAAGCAGCAGTACACACATTCTGAACCACAAACTCCCCATACAGCCCCCCACACACGTACACATTCCCAAACAGATCTACTTAGAAACTTCCCCCATCCCTTTCCATACAGACACAAATTCCGGGAGCCCCCTAGGTATACTCAGAGACACACAGAGAGCTCCACACATACCTCCACAGGAATTCTTACAAAGAAATTCCTTAGATATGAAGAGACCATAAAAATAATTATAGCTGCTGCTCGTTTTACAGTTGAGGAAACTGAAGCTCAGAGAAAGGAAGCAGCTTGTTGAAGATCACAGGGAGAGTGTCAGAGCTGGGATCAGAAACCAGACTTCTAACTCCTAGTCCACTGAAGTGCTGAGCAGCCTCCCACAGTGTTAACACACCACACAGACACTTCCCCACCATGGACACTCCTATCTATGATGGAAAAGGACACATGCAGATACAGAGGATGGGAGAGACAGTCCTGATGCCGAGAACAGACACACACTGACACCTCAGGCACATACATTCTGCCAGGCTCACCCTACTACACACATGCAGCCACTCAGTCCAGCTTGCTTCCTTGCATATTCTTGCTGGGAATTAGCCTCCAGCCTCCAGAATCTTGGGCTAGGGTAGGATGAGAATGGGGCTTTGGAGGCCAGCCTTAAACTCCTACCAACTTCCAGCCTGAGACAGAGACCAGTGAACAGAAGAATGGGAGGGGGTGGGGCAGAGCGAAGCATTGGTCGGGGCAAGACAGGACCACGGATCCTATCAGCCCAAACCCCGGCCTTTCTCCAAGGCCCACTTGATCCTTCCCACACAACCCAGAGAGCAAGGAAGGGGGTGACTGGGGTAAAGAGGAGCACAAAGGCCTCCTCTTGCCATGATCCAGATGGTGTGTGGGAGGGCAACATCCCTGTGGGCAGCTTTGCCAGGCTTTCCATCTGAAGTTGAAGGGAAAAACACAAATAGGTACATGGGCCGGCAGGTGCGCATGGAGGGGCTCCAAGGTGCTGGGCTGGGTCCTCACAGCCCGGGCTTTCCTCCCCACGAGCCCCCTTCCGTGGCAGGCTGGGGCTGGGGGTTCATGGCTTCACGGGGGTGGGCTTTGTGATTCCCAACCCCCACTCATTAGTGTTGGCCTCCTTGCCACCCAGTTCCCCCTCCCCAACACCGTACTGTAGCCTTGAGGGCGGGGCAGGGTGCTAGGTAGGGTCCCCCAAGTAACTGAACAAACAGCCCCCACCCCTCCTCAGCTCCCGGGGTGGAGAGGGACCCGGTTTTGGTTTCTCCCGCTCCATGGACACACAGAGGTACACGTCCTACCATAGGAGGAAGCAATGACTGTTACGAGGTTGCGGCTGTAGGGGACGCTGGGCCGGCGGCAGGCGGATGAGCTAGGGAGGGGTTGACCCCTGCCCTCCCAGCCTGGCCTGCCGAGCCCTGCCCCGCGGCCGCCTGGGCCCCGCCCGCTACTGAATGTGGCAGGCAGTAGAGGACGTGGCCTGGCAGCACATGCAGGTGGGGTTCACAGACTTGGGGGGTATGAGGTCTAGGTCCTCGTCGTCGGGGATCTCGTCTAACCGGTAGCCGTCCTTCAGCAGCTGGATGTTCAAATCTTGGTTGATCTGCTGTAGACAAAGGGAGGGGAAAGGAGGTTAGGCTCCTGCGGCTGTGAGAAACAAAACCCCGACCACCTGCGCCCTGCTCCAGGCCCGCCCACAAGGTCAGCAGCAACCCACCACCACTCTATCGTTCTATCGCAAGTTTCGCCCCAAATAGGCCCTACCCTAGGTGGTGCAGTGGTTAAGGCATTTGGCTGCTAACGAAATGATCGCTGATGGAACCCATCAGCCTCTCTGTGGGAGAAAGATGAGGCAGTCTACTTTCATAAAGATTTACTGTCTTGGAAGCCCTATGGGGCAGTTCTACTCTGCCCTCTAGGATCGTTATGAGTGCTCAATGGCAGTGGTTTAGGCCCCACCCTTCCGCACAAGCAAGACCTCCTGAGGCCCCGCCCCCTATAGGCCCTTCTAAAAAAATCATGCCATAGAGTCCATTCTGACTCATAGCGACTCCCTTTGGGTTTCTGAGATAAATCTTTAAGGAAGTACACCCAGTCTTCCTTCTAAAGGTCATCTTTTCACCTCAGGTGCTACCTCTGTTCGGGTCCCTGCCCTGACCTCATTCATTTGCGGCCCCCATAAAGTGTCACCTGTATCTTGCACCCCATCCTATCTAAAAGCCATGCAAGGATCTCAAGCCCCTTCCCATCCCTGGGTTCCCTGCACTTGAGCCCAATGTCTTATCCCAGCCTCCCCTCCTCCAGTCTCATTTTAGGTCTTGCCTCCTCTACACAGGGCTAAGGAGCTCTGGCAGCATAGTGCCTAAGGCATTTGACTGCTGACCAGAAGGTTGGCTGTTCAAACCCACCAGCCACTCCCTGAAAGGAAGATTGGGCAATCTACTTCCATAAAGATTTATCTCAGAAACCCAAAGGGGGTCGCTATGAGTCAAGATCCACTTGATGGCAGTGATTTTTTTGTTTGTTTCTATACAGGGCTCCCTATCTTTGCCTATTCCTTCTCTCAGGGTGTGATTTGGTGTTGACCCCACCCTTTCTCCCTGATAGAAGTGGTCCTTCTCAGGTGTATCTAAGGCAGGAAGGGGTGGGGCCTCACCTCAGCAGAGGAGTAGCCAGAGGAAGAGTATCTGGACATGTCAAAGTCGTCGTCGCTAGCCGTGGAGAAAGGACAGAGAGGAAGCGATTCAAGGAAATTAAGTAGAAAATCCCCTGTACCTTCCCATCAATCAATAATACCCCATCTTACCCCCATGGTCTCAAATCAACAGCACGGTCTAAATAAAAACTGCACTTGCTGTGCATATACAGTTTTAAGACAGGTTCCCTAGCTCCGCCCTTTTAAATTAACTGCCACTGTTAATGTGCTTCTAAATAGAGCCGCCATTCTTTCCATCCCCACCTCTCCCCACTTTTTGCCAGGCTCTAATCGCCTTGGCCTGTTGAGTTTTCCAGCAGTCCGAGTCTAGCCAGGTGTGTTTCCAGCAAGTAGGGCTTCTCTTAGAGGGGGCAGAACATTAAACATTTCATCCTGATGTTCAGGGAGGGTATCAGGGCCCATTCTAGGGGCAGCTACTGGATCAGTTCTCCCAGGACATCAGTATACTGCATCAGCTCCCCTTTCCTCCTTCTGCTTCTCCCTCCCTGAGGTAAAAAATTCCATTCCCTGGGAGATTCACCCTTGGAGAGACTCTGTCTATCCAAGAAATACCACAGTTCCCATACAGGAGGTGTGGCCTGTGTAACCAACCCACTTGTGCTCACACAGGTTCCTTGCTTGCCCAGCTGCCCCCAGGTCCCCGTACACACCTGTCCGCTTGCTCAGCTGCCCCCAGGTCCCCGTACACACCTGTCCGTGTCAAGGGCTACCAGTGGCTTCTCATCTGGGCTCTGGTCAAGTGAAGAGTAGCCTTTATTGGGGACGACCAGCCTGGGTGGAGAATTGGGGTTGGAGTGGTAACTGGAGCACATAAGGCTGGTAGGGGACTGAGTTGTGTAGCACCCTACCACATTCCTCCCTCCCTCCCCACCTCAGATCCTGTTGAGTCTCTCTCCTTTGGGAGAGGAGCTGGGCCTAAGGAAGGAGGGAAGAGGAAGACGCTCAGGACCAGCAGAAATAGATGCTGACTGACAGGGACCAGGTGGGGTAGAGGGGGTCTCTACCTGGTCCGAGCCATGACATTGTTCTTCTTGGGTTGCTGGTTGATGGGGCTACCCATGCTGCCATTCTTCAAGGAGCCCTTCCGGGCCAGCTCCCGCTGCTTATCTACAGGGAAACACGGGAAGGAAGCTGTGTCCTGCCCCCAGGGACACTCTACGTACTTCCAGGGGCAGCCTGGGCTGGGCCTCCATTGTGAAACCCCTTGCTTCTCTAGGGACTGAGGCTATGACCCCAACTCCAGACCCTTACTGCCCTGTAGAGATAGTACTTGGGCATACCTGCATACCCTGAGACATAGTAGGGAGCAAAAGGAGGCTGGTTCCTGTCCTTCCAGAGGCCACAACTCCCACATGGAGCAGTTAGTGTGTGCTTAATGCCAAGGAAAGGCTGGGGAGGAAGAGATGATCACAGAGGGATGGAACAATCAGGGAAGATGTCCTGTAGGCCAGCTGGAGAAAGGAGGGCATTCTAGGAAGAAGGGATAGTGTGTACAAAAAAATGCATTTAGAAGTGACCATAAGAAGTCTGGATCTTAGTGGGATGGAAGAATGAAGATCGAGGGAGATCAGGTTAGTAAAATAGGATCCATTTATTCAGTCACTTATTCATTCAACGAATGCTTTGTGTCACTAATCATGTGTCAAGTTCTATGTTAAGTGGCCAGGGCCTCCATTTGGTTATAAATTCAAGAGCATGAAGGCCCTGAATGTCAGATAGGGTGTTCAGAATCAATTCATATGGCAAAAAAGGAGCCACTGAAGGCTGTGGAGTGGAACTGGCCAAAGGGAACTAGCAAGGTAGGGGACAGGAGGATGGGGGAAGCCCATCTGGCTACACCATCTGAGTGATGCTCCTGACTCCTCTGCCAGCCCCTGAGTTCTCTTGAGTTCTAAACCAACCAGGTTCATGGGGCTGGCCATCAGGTGACCCAACACTGCCTGGTGTGGCACTGAGTGAGGGTGGGAGAAGAGCTTGCAGCAGCAGTTTTGGGGACACCAGCCTCCTCTCCCTGATCTCAGCATCTGTTCCCAGCAGTGGCTGCCCAGGTCCTGGATAAGGCCCATCTGTCCTTTCCTATTCATGTCAAGTGAAGCCCAGACCTAGGAAAAGGGACAGTTGGGTAGCGAGAGATGCTAGGGGAACACTATCTCATAAAATAACCATGAACTCCATTTACTTAGGCTATCTGTGCAACTTCCTCTGACTCTCATTTCTCTAAGTCTCTCAGCTCCCAGTCTCTGCCTGTCTCTGAACCTCTTTCCTGATAGCTGCTCACCGGGATCCAGCTTCTTTCCAGCAAGTGGCAGCTGCCATTACCACCCCAAGCCTCTAGGGGGTGCAATTTGACTTAAAGTTCTTGGTGTTGATTTTTTTTTTTTTTTTTTTCCCTTTAGTGAAACTGGAGGACCTCTGGTAGCATAGTGCCTGAGGCACTTGACTGCTAACCAGAAGGCTGGCGGTTCAAACCCACCAGCCACTCCTCGGAAGGAAGATGGGGCAATCTACTTCCATAGTGATACTGCCTTGGAAACCCAAAGAGGGGTCGCTATGAGTCAGGTTCGACTCGACGGCACATAACAACAACAACAGTGAAACTGGGACAAGATTATGAATTTGCATGAAGAGCTTTGGTGGTAATGTAATGGGGGAAAAAACAAAACAACGAACAGTTACTTTACAAGCATGCTGAATTTATTTGAAATAGTGAAAAGATACAGACAATAAATTGCCAAAACTAAATTATGGACTACTGTACAACTCGGAGGACCTCTGGTAGCATAGTGCGTAAGGCGCTTGACTGCTAACCAGAAGGCTGGCGGTTCAAACCCACCAGCCACTCCTCGGAAGGAAGATGGGGCAATCTACTTCCGTAGTGATAATGCCTCGGAAACCTAAGGAAGGGTCACTATGAGTTGGGTCTGACTCGATGGCACATAACAACAACAACATGCAACTCAAAGGAGCTCTGGTGGCATAGTGCTTAAGGCATTTGACTGCTAACCAGAAGGCTGGTGGTTCAAACCCATCAGCCACTCCTTGGAAGGAAGACTGGGCAATCTACTTCTGTAGTGACACCGCCTTGGAAACCCAAGGAGGGGTCACTATGAGTTGGATCTGACTCAATGGCTGTGAGTTTGGTTTTTTTTTTGGTATGCAACTCAGTAGCAGTGAGCTTATTATTATTATTATTTTATATTTTTAATGCAACCATTGTAGTCCATAAAAAAATTCACTGCTGTTGAATCAGTTCCAACTCATAGTGACCCATCCTTGGGCTTCCCAGGCAGTATCTCTATGGAAGTATATTGCCCAGCCTTCCTTCTGAAGAGTAGCTGGTAGGTTTGAACTACTGCCAGCCTTCTGGTCAGCAGTCAAATGCCTTAGCCACTATGCCACCAGAGCTCCATAGTAGTCCATAAATTAGTTTTGCCAATTTATTGTCTGTGTCTTTTCACTATTTCAAAAAAATTCAGCATGCTTTTAAAGTTTAAAAGAATGCAGTGATTCTCCATACACTGCCATTGGAAGGGACTCCAAGATACTAAGGAAAAAAAAAGTTTCAGAAAATGTGTACCATACGATACCCCTTATGTCACAATGCAGAATAGAACTAGAAAAACTAAAGATGGGAGGGGAGTAAAGGAGAACTTGTGAAATCATGTGTATTGTTAAATTTAAAAACAATGAACGAATAGAACTGGCCTCAGTTTGTCCTAGGAAGATGAACAAATTTCACTTAGGAAAAGAACTGCTCTCTTGTTTAGAAAAAAACAGCTTGAGGGGCTCTGGGATATGATGTGGAAATAGCTGAATAAAAGAACAGCATGCTGCAGAAAGCAATCTGAGAAGCTACAGAGAGAAAAAGTTTTAGAATAGGTAGGAAAGGGTGCTGGGCAATAAGGAGGAGCTCCAATATTTGACAGGCAGTCTGAGGAGAAAAACCGACAGAAAGACAGGGATGACAGAGGAGTTAAAGGAGAGTGACGGCCTGTTTTTAATTGTAAGCTCTTTCCTGTGTGCACTGTTGTGGTTACTATTGTAATTTCTCTCTATGTCACCACATTTTTAGCAAAAATCTGTCACACACAGCACTGTGGGTCAGTGAAACTTTGGGTCCTGAAGGGATGGAGGCAGTGTTCATCGCAGATGAGGTGGGACACAGCTGCAGAAGCTGTGGGGGAGGGTTGGGAGCCAGGTGACTGCAAAAGAGCAGGCTGCAGTGTAAACTGACACCAGAGTGGACATGAGATAAACTCCCAAGGAAAAGTGACCCTGGAAAGGGGGGGAAGATGTTTGGGTTTACTAAGAAACTCAGAGAAAGCTCCCCAAAACAGAAGCCAACCAGGCCCTGAGATCTCCAGATGGGCTGAGGTTGGAATGGGGAGAGGGGCTCAGCTTCTGTGCTTTGAGACTCTGATTCCTTGCTGTCCTTCAGATCTATCAACTGATACCCCACCTCTCAGGCAGCTTCCTGTCAGCCTGATCCAGTGTTTGATGGCACTTCCAAGCTCTCTGGGCTCCATGCTTTTACCCTTGCAGGTCTCTCTTGGAATACATGGAGACTTCTTGGCCTCAAAGAGGCCTCCTAGAGTTTCAGGCTCCTGTAGAGAACTGTAGCTGCCGTCTTTGCCTCGCAGGAGATAAGGTGCCTGGCAGTGTCAGAGACTTGGTGGTTTGAGTCTTCGGATCATCTAACCTTAGTTGATGTGTCTATGGCACCTCATTGCCTCATTGCAGACCCAGCCCAGAGTGCCTTGTCCACTACCCATATCTCCCTCACCCCCCAGACACACTCACCCAGCTTCACTTGGAGCGGGGATGGTTTGTAATTCATGGCTACTGACTCACCCTCCCGGGCGTCACAGTCTCCGTCTGAGATGGAGGCGGCGGCTGGGTCCTGTGGGGAGAAAGCAGAGAGACAGAATTGTTAGGATGTGAACACAAGAGGCTGCTCTCAGCCCTGAAGTGGCTTTCCCACCGGCTCTCTGGGCTTCTGGAGGCATTTGTCTCTGGCAGCAGGTAAGGGATTGGTGGTGTGGTGGTGGTGGTGGTGGTGGTGGGGTCCCAGAAGATTCTGAGCTGGGTAAAAGAGCCAAGGATCTCAACCCTACTTACATCCAACTGGGTGTCTGGCCTCAAAGTCCTCTGTGATCAAGCCTCTTCCAGAAAGCCCATCATGATGCCTTAAACCCACAGGACTGCCTCCTCCAGCCTAAACCCCATACTAGTTGCATTGCTCCTCAGGGTCCTTCCTGAGGACTTGTTTTGAAAGGTCTTTCTAGGTTCCCATTGGTTGAAGTCTGTATTGAAGTCAGAGCAGGTGCTCTTTGAGCCAGGCTTTCCCCCTCACTAGTTTCTCCTGCCCAGACTATATAGACTGCAGCCACTGGACAATAAAGGGTTCTAATGAGGGCTCCGCATTTCACAGATGAATCGTAAAGAAGAGCTCCTGGAAGAACCTGACAAGTTGGCTATATGTGGTATGTGAGAAGACAAATAATGGCAAAGAAGTTGATAGCCAGTTAGTTAGTCCTGTGCTGCCCAGAGTGCAAAACATGGGGCTTGACACTACAGAAATGATGAAAGAAGGAAAACATGCATCTGTGTATTGTCCAGGGTCTGCAGCCTTCTCAATCTCCCTTACTGCCCTCCTTCTCACTTACTTCCCTCCATTGGGCTAAAACCTTGGTGCTGCCCAGGATCTAACCAAGCCTCACCTTTATATCCAAAATATCCCAAGTCTCTGCTCCAAGAGTCAGGGGCGTGGCTCACTCTCACCCCCAACTGAAAAGGGCTGGAGTCATCTACATTCTCCCAAGAAGCTGATGACCAACCATTAATAGAGGTAATGTCATCCTGGGGCTCTTTGCATTTTAACCAGAGACCAAAGAGTGGTAGGCCTGAAGTATGAGGATTCCAGAGGGGATCCAAGGTTGCTGCCCATTCTGGCACTGGATATAGAGAGTAAACAGACAAGCAGGTATAATGCCCTAGGACTGGCCTAAAGTGTCAGGTCCAGGGATCTGGTGACGCATAACTATTATGCTGGCTTCTGTTTGTAATGTTTGGGAGAGAAATTCTGATCTTCTCTGTGCCCCCACAGGCCATCCAGAGCATAAGGCCCTGGGTGGATTCTGTTGCCACAATGGTTTGTGAGTTGCTGAGGGCAGAACCCAACCTTCTTCCTCTGTCCTGATCCCCGCCTCTTAGCCATGGTGAAGCAGAGGCAGCAGGAAAAAGCCCAGAGCCACAATGCCCGAATCTTAGGCAAACCCAGACCTTTACCATAGGCTTCCTATTTGTCCTCCCTGAGAAATGCAGCCAATGCACCATGACTATCACATGGCAGTGAAATAGGGGAGATTAAATATGAAATATTCATGAACATAAGTATCATAAAGAAATCCAGGCAGAAGGAAGTATCTGGCTCCAAGAAATCAGGGAGAATTGAAAATGCTCCCCAAGGACATCTGACAGGCGTTAGCTAGATCCGGAACTAGAGTGGGGATTAGCAAGATTATTAATAAACACTCAGCAGAGACAGACATTGAAATGCATCTCCAACAGCAGCCCATGTTTCTGCAACCATTCAAACAAATTCTCCAAAGACTGCTGAGAATGATTAATAGCTCAGTCTCACTGTTTCTGGGACAGGGTATATCAGCTAATGGCCAGCACAAAGCCAATACATCTAGAGGAAGGAAAAAGTGCCAGAAGAATTCTTAGTTAGTCTGGCCCAGTATTTTTCATTCAACTGTGTTCCCTAAAACCTAAGTCTTGGGTGGGGCTGAGAGTGAGGAAGAAACAATAGAGGATCTGGTCTGGTTACCTTTCAACCAGAGAAGATCCATTTTCAGTTCATTTACATTCAGACTTCCTATAAGATTTTGGTTGGAGAAAGAAAGGGTTCTATTGCTTAAAAAAAGAAAGAAAAAGGTTAAGATCTATTGATCTAATCTAATCTAGCCTTTTTAAAAATAATGTTTTATTAAGGAAATTACTAAACTTATATGAAAGTAGACAAAATAGTATAATGAGATTCTGGGTGTTTATCACCAGCTTCAACACATGTAAACTTACCAACTTATTTTTTTTAAAAATGAGAAAACCTAGGCCCAGAAGGGAAGTGTCTTCTGATTCATAGTGACCCTACAGGGCAGAGTAGAACTACCCCATAGTGTTTCTAAGGCTCTAAATCTTTACAGAAGCAGACTGTATCATCTTTCTTCCATGAAGTGGCTGGTGGGTTCAAACCACCAACCTTTTGGTTAGCAGCCCAATTCTTTAACCACAGCACCACCAGAGCTCCTCACAGTATGCAAGGAAAGAGAGAATGACAAGGACTTGAAGCCAGAGATAGGTATTCTGGGAGGCTGTTTTGTCCCTGCAGGCCCAAGCATCAGTCTGCATACTAACCCCTACCTTTTACCTCTCTGCTCTGGAGCTGAGCTAGCTCAAGAGTTTCCCCAGCTGGCTGGCTTTAACTTATAGGAGCTATGGGGGTGTAGGCTGGGACTCAAGAGACCAGGGATGCAGATAAGCAGGACAGAACTGGAGAAGGACTTCCAAACCTCATGTCCAGAAATTTTCAGAGGGGATGGGCCTGGAGAAGTAGCCACAAGGAACTCCTTTCCTAGATGACCACAAGCATTTTACAGTCTTCTCTGGTAGGACTCTGGGTGTCAAAATTTAGACTTGTGCTACCCAAAGCATCTATATATTCAATGCAACCCCGATCCAGATTCCATCAACATTCTTTAAAGACATGGAAAAACCAATCACTAACTTTACATAGAAAGGAAAGAGACCTCGGATAAGCAAATCACTACTGAAGAAGAAGAACAAAGTAGGAGGTCTCACACTCCCAGATCTCCAATCATACTATACAGCCACAGTAGTCAAAACTGCCCAATATTGTGCTTATGCACAGGGAGACAGCTCAGGGGGCAG